ATAAATACCGTTTCTTTTGTAAATTTATGAGTGTACTTGTTGCTTGAGGTACTTAGCCTGCAAAACCTTTTAATGACGATTTTTATCATATTCTCAGAGTACAATACCAATCTCGGCCCAGGTGAAGGGGGTCATCGGGAGTTTGGCCTTAAAGTGAAGAGGGTAAGATCCCTCACTCCCCCTATCGCATCTATGGATGCAGGGCGATACGCACGATTGCTTTCCACACGAGCTACCGCCGTTGCGACACATCCGACGTCGGCTTCTGCATGAGCAAAGCACAGGGGAAGAAAAAAACCTGCGCCGTACATGACGTGTTAAGACATTAAGACAAGCCACCATGGTGGCGCTAGAGATCGCCCGTGCGAAAAGACAGTCCCCCCCCCCCCCCGTAATCATTGCAACCTCAAGTACTGGTTGGAGAGCAGTGCAGAGAACGCGAACTTTCACTGCATTATCAGAAGTGAGGATGACTTGATTCGTCGCACGCGCGTGCAGCGTTAGAGAATTTTATTGAATTTTTTTTTTTGCAATCACTTTCAGAACCGACATTCATACTCATGATTTTAATGCGTACGATCAATCCTTTTGCCTCCGAAAGTAAATTCTTCAATTTAGAGGAATGATGACATGTTTATTTCAGTTCCGAAAAATAGAGTAACCAAAGTTTACAAAGGCACAATTAAGAGGGAAATAGTGCAAATGCCCTGAAGATAATTTTTGTTTTGCTGTGAACTTTCGTTAAAGTTTCAATGTAAAGTTAATGAACATCCTTTGATAGTATATGAGTAGACTTTATTATTTGCATATCAAAACACAAAAGAGATAAGCTCAGGTGAGAGAAAATTCAGATGTGCTAGACAGTGGTTCAGTACAAACTTCAAGCCGTTTACATTGGGACTCCCGAGTTTAACCACAAGTTATCTGCGTTCAACAGCAAAATGTTCCACGAGGAACTTCCCAATCAGGGTCGAGCAAAAGGTGTGGCACACAAGCATCGGATACGATCCCCCCTCCCCCAACCCCCCACCAGCCATCGTTTGCTTTCCGTAGGCATGACATAAAGGCTCTACCATGCATAATTAGGCACATATTCGTAACCATCATGTCGAATAACCCCCATGCCAAGATTCAGCAAGTTCGCGGGTTCCCAATATTGGACCACTCAAGTGAAGTGGTCGATTTCAAGCATCATTAACTATTTTTCAGAAGTAAATTAGCTAACTCTTTTTGTAATCAGTACAAAGCAGTACTTCCTCTTTACCCATACCATGAATCCTGCTTTAAATAAACTTCAAGCTATGGAATTAGAAGCAGGCCAAAATCACGTCTTCCCATTTTTCGCTTCTAATGGCTGCGCTTTCACCAGCTTTTACTCAGAGCGAAGAAAATGAATCAGGCCCAGATTACTCCTGTGAAAACTACAAGACTCAGGCTAAGAAGCTGCGGCCGCCACACCTTTTTAGGGGTTGTGCCAACCCCATTAACTTACCTTCACAGTATTCAAATCTCTCTTTTTTATGTGGTTGCTACTGCTAAACCTTTCCACATAGCAGGAATTCCATTCAAAATTCCTAGGGCAAGATATAGCCGTTTTTCCTTAATTATGCAAACAGAAAACATTGCGAAAATATTGGGTTGCGGTAATATGCTAAGTCTGCGCCACTACTTGAATCTCGAGGGAAAGCGGCAAGAACAAGTATAGTCGCCCTCCCCCCACTAGACACTCAGTGGACGAATTTGAATTTGAGCAGGAGCAAATGACTAGTCTCAGGGCGCGGCAGACGCCACGGTCAAAGTGTGCGCATATGCTGTTTTTTCATTTCTCTTCATGTTTGTTTGTTGTTACTCTTATTGCGGCAATGCATCATATCAGATTCGAGATTTTGCTACCGGTGATCGTTGTTCCATGCTGTTATTCTCGTTTGCCTTATATTTTTTCCAAGTAAAGCTGAAAATACACGCAGTGAAGACTAGGGGCCAGGAATTCACTTCCTCACAGATAAGGGAAGAAACAAACAACCAAGTGCTTACGTGCAATTAAGGATATACGTATGACATGGATATTGCCATGTACAAGTATGCCGGATGCATCATCCAAAAAACTCACCTATACTTCTTGAAAAGATTCAGGTCTAAAAAAAAAGTTTGGAGAGCACACTCAATTAGGAAATTGATTCAATTCACGAAAGACGCTTGTGCATGTGTTTTTTTTTACCGGAAAGGCAGCGACATTTCATCAGGAATCTTCAACTGCGTCGTAATCCCATCTTTACCTGAAAAATGTGAGGCAAACGATAATGACAGCATGAAACAACGATCACCGGTAGCAAAATCTCGAATCTGATATGATGCATTGCCGCAATAAGAGTAACAACAAAGAAACACGAAGAAAAATGAAAAAACAGCATATGCGCACACTTTGACCGTGGCGGCGTCTGCCGCGCCCTGACGCTAGCCATTTGCTCCTACTCAAATTCAAATTCGTCCGCTGTGTGTCTAGTGGGGGAACGGTCAGGAGTCACGGTCGGCGCGAATTTTTCGCGAAGCGATGCCGCGAGCGATGTCAGCAAAACACAAGCTAGCACTCCTGGCGCAGTCTTACTTATGATACGAGCCATGTATCTGCCCCCACCCCCCACTCCCCTAAACTGGCGCCGTGCCACTTTAGCACCGAGCAGTTCTGTGGGGTACAAAATTTAGACGCGACGTTCGCGACGAAGCGGCACGGCGCGCGGCGTGACTCCTGACATGGAGCCTGTCTAGTGGGGGGAGGACGACTATACAACTGATCGCCTGGTTCTCACAACTTTCACAAAAGTGATTTGAGTCTGATTGGTCTTCTCTAGTCTGAGAAATCAAAAGCGAAAAATTCAAACGAGATTTTGGCTTGCTCTTAATTTCTCAATTTGGAGGTTATTGGAAGTAGAATTCCTAAAGTAAGCAAACAAGTGGTAGTTCTTTGTATTAAGTGCAGAGAGAAGTAGTTAACTCATTTTTGAAACAAAGTTAACATGATCGAAAATGACCTTTTACTTGAGTGGCCCAATATTCGGAAACCTCAAAACTCGCTTGAACTTGTTTCACAGGGGTTATTTGACATGCTAATTACAGACACGGTGCTTTTCTGCTTTTGGGATTCTTGCATTATGCTTACTATACGTATAAGACGAAAGGCCAAAACACCAGTGCTAGTATCTTGCACAACTATCAGACATTGTTGACTGACTTCATGTCGATAACATCACTATCACCTCATAACGACCCCCCTCCCCTCTTCCTGACTCCTCTACGACCCCAGGTGTGGCGTGCTACACCCCACGCTTGACCCTGTTCCCAACCAAAAGCATATGACAGCTAAGCCGGCCATCGCACGGCATTGGTCTCCCGAGTAGATGTCTGGAGGATTCCCTACAACATAAGAGCATGACGCTTATTTTAAAGAGTAGAACGCCATCCGCGCTCGGGAGTTTAAAATGACCTTAGGGGCAACTGGGGAAAGGACTACCTAAGTCTTGCCACCCCATTTGACAGTTAAAGGCACCGTCCACTTAGATTCTCGACTACCACGTTTTGATCGTTCCGGAGCCTTCTCATGTTCCTGATTCGAATATGAAGTGAGAATCCGTGAAAACCCCAATATCCGAAACGATGATTGGATGGGCGCGCAAAAATGGGTGGGCATGGATGGGAGAGCGATGCCGTCTAAGGGTCTTGCACATTTTCGTTGCTCCGGAGCGATTTTCTAACTTTTGAAGAGGTTTTGCGCCGCGACTTAACATTGGCTTGAAAGGTGGCCCTACTTTGATACGCTGCCAAAAGCGACAAGAAGTTGATTTTGAAATTTTGTGCTTATCTGGGCTTATTCGCTATGCTGAATCCGATAATACGCACTGGAGAGTGCGAAAACGGCGTAAAAGGGCTCTAGCGCAGGAAGGAATCAACAAGTGGGCGGGGCCTTCCATTTCGTGAAGTCACTCTCCCAGCTTCAAGAGCGATCTTCTCGCTTCTACTAGCCGCCCTAACATTGCCAGGGATAGAACGCACGATTTCAGATCGAAAACCAGATGATCGCACCTGAAGAGGGAGTGACTCACAGAGTGGAAGGTCCCATTCACAAGCTGATTTTCATCCTGCGTTAGACCTCTTCATCTCCGTTTTCGCGCTCTCCGTTGGGATTTTCGGATCCAGCATAGCGAGTAGGATAAGCACATCTCAAAATCGGCTTTTTCCTGGACACTGCCTTTGAGACATATTGCTGTTGTGCGTAGCTGCCGTCCTCTTACAAGCGACATCTCCCGATATGAAGCTTCTCAAGGTACACGCAGAGGACATGCGCAAGACATGCAATAGTAGTGCACACTGACATCAAAGTGTTGCAATCTTTCTGAGCCGCTTATGATCATGTCTTTACTTGGCAAGTATGAGGCCAGTATAATATTTCGGATGTATGTAAAGTATGTACGCCTTCCACTAGCTCAATGCCGGGGACGGTGTTTTCTCAGACTTGGCAACCGTCTGCGAATCGAAAGAAAACGCTTGAAAAGTTGCCATCAGTTGGTGGATCCTTCGTCGAAAGTCTTGTATAGGGCTTATCAAATTGAGTGTCATTTGCACCAGCATCTCCATCTTCGCGCTGGGCTCTGCGTCTCTTCTGCGTTACATGCTTCCTAATCACTTCCAATCGATTGATGCTCCGCCTTTCCCACGCTCGCCCTGGGAAAGTGCTCAGAGAGCAGTCCTGCGGAAGAGTCCAGCGCGAAGATGGAGATGCCGGTGCAAACGACACTCAATTCGATAAGCCCTATAAATTCGATCAAGCAGATGAATTACACCACCGGAGACCCCTCTGATTCATCATCTGCGCTTTCTGCGCAGTTATCCTACAACAGTTGACGCACAGTGCAAAAGGACAAGGGGTAAAGCCGTCTTTTTTCACAATCAGAGGCATCAACTTTTACATTGTATGACCAGTGATAGTGCATCTTTATGAGACTACTAGTGATACTGCATCTTTATGGCAATGGGCTTCTATTGGTGAGCGTATTTAGCCGTTGGCAAAATTTGCTCAGATATAGTGTCAGTATTTATGATTGATTGGATGTCCTCCTCGTTCTTCGGTTTGTCGACATGTTATCATCTTGATCGTTTTGGTCTCTTCCTGCACGTCGTCTTCTACTTCGTCTTCGTCTTCGAGAGCGACTCGAGCGTCGTGACCTAAACAACATGTTAAGTGAAGTTCTTCGAATGCTTGAGTCTCACCTTCGCGATCTACGGCTTCCTCTTCTTCGTCTTCGAGATCGACTTCTTCTCCTGGAGCGTGATCTTGAGTGTCTTCTGGATCTTGAACGGCGAGATCTCGATCTTCTGGATCTTGAACGGCGAGATCTCGAGCGTCGGGATCTCCTTCTGGATCTTGAGCGTCGAGAACGGCTACGTCTCCTGGATCGAGAGCGGGATCTGCCTGGTGACCGCGAACTGCGTCTCATTCGGCGGGATCGTCTTCGTGAACCTGAAGCGCTTTCTTATTACCGCTCAGAAAACGAAGCCCACTAGACTAACGAGAACGAGTTTTTCCTGCACTTGCTCTTTGGTCGCTTCCAGCAGTTGATCTTCGAGATGATGACTGCCGATTTTGGGGTGAGGAGTCGCTGTCGTCGTCATCATTGAGTGCACGACTCCGCCTCGTGCTCCTACTCCGTGTCGTGGGAGGCATGGTTAGTAAATGAAGATACTACATGTTGCCTTAGCTTTTATATCCCATGCTATCAACAAACCATTCCGAAATCATCAACATCATTGGGCTTGACTGATTTTAGAGAGCAGTGGCATATTACAAAATTTCTGATTTACAGGTTTACTGCATTGTACACAGTCAAGTGGAGCATATGTTATGATTTTCCAGATCCAGCAAAAAAAGAATATAAATTTCAATGTAGTCTACCTTCTATATTGCCCGTTACATCCTGGATTTGGTACACAATTCCCACTAAATGATCTTTCAATGCCCAAAAAAATAAAAACTGAGAAAAAGACGCCATCGGCAGCAGCCGGTCCATTCTATCATTTTCTCACCCTATTTTTAAAATTACATGCATTGATGACAATATGGCCCACCGTGGGTCGTACGTTGTCGGAAGTCCTGAATTTATCAGTCACGATGATGCTTCACGGATTCTTGGCTCATGTTTGGAGAAGTTAGGAGGAACTCCAGTCAGGGTTGGGATATAGTACAGTCACGAAACTGGCTTGAAATTTTCAAAGATTGATGCTTTTTTCGGAAAATCCAGTGCAGATATATAGGTGATTTCAAGCGCAGACGACATTCGCTCATTCAAATCTATCAGGACATAAATTTTTTCATTTCCATGTCACAAAGATTAGATCATACATAGATCGGTATCACATGCTCATTACGAATATGATTGTTTCAAAACCAACGATGGCCCCTTTAATGAATTACTTCACTTTTACAAAAAATCCCACTGTGATTTCTAGTGATTGGATTGTACACCAAGTTTGTGACCAACTCGAAACAAAGGTACAATTTTTCCAAAGAAAACACATGCAGTTATAGTGCTATGGCTAATGTAACCTTCGTGTATGATTCCAAGAATTGAGAAGAATATCATTTTTGATCACCCACTTATGCTGAATTTTTGTTAGTCTAAAATCCGAAAACGATACCATTCCGGACCACACAACCCACCTTTAAGTCTTAACTTTGACATTGCATCTGAGCTCTGGTCCAAAATGGGAAAAATCAAAAAAAAAACCGCCCGATCGTGAATGCGACGATACCCTTTGATTCAGCGGGATCGGCTGGAAGGCGACTGCTCGCACCCGCGATGCAGTCTGCGTCTCCTCGCGCGTGCTCTCTGATCCTTCCCCAGCCGTCATTAGGCATCGAAGCCGCGCCTTCCAAACCGCCACCCCTCCCACTTGAATCAAAGGGTATCATAATAAGGGATCGTTCATACCGCGCACAAAGGCGGACGAAGGCGGACGAAGGCGGACGAAGCCGGACAAAGGCGGACGAAGCCGGACAAACGCGGACGAAGTCGGACAAAGGCGGACGAAGGCGCGTGTGAGTATGTGTGCGTGTCGAGAGAAACGAGACGAGACGAGACCGCGCCTTCGTCCGCCTTTGTCCGGCTTTGTCCGGCTTCGTCCGCCTTCGTCCGCCTTTGTCCGGCTTCGTCCGGCTTCGTCCGCCTTTGTGCGCGGTATGAACGATCCCTAACAAGACTGTTGTAAACGCTACACGTCATGTGATCGACACTTTTATTCCTGATAAACTCTGGCTGACTTCGTTCTCAGTGGTAAATCTGTATCTGAAAGGAGATTGGACGAACAAAATGTAGCAAATTCAATGAGCACCACGTCTTCAGAGACCAGAGTGCATTGATATGTGGTGGTTGGTCATATCAAGAAACTGGTTGCTGCGGAGCCTTCATTCGCACTTTGACTGACGCTGGTAAACATTATTATTACGATGTTTCCACAATGATAGAGCTAACAGACATCAACAGGCTAGCTTGCGCCACAAGAGTGGCTGTGCGAGCGGAAGCCAAACCACGGATTTTTAAACAAAAGTGATCTAGAATTCCTAAAAGTCACCAATCAAATCAATTACGATTATTTACAAGTGAAGTCATTTGCACAATTTTATGGTCATGTACGCAACTTTCAAACCTAAGATAAGAAATATTCTAGTGTTGCAACTAGTCAGCTGTTAAGTGGAAACTATAAAAAAGGCGCATCTAGGAAAGATTGAACCCAATATTTTGAAATTTACATAATGTGCAGCCTTCATGCAGCATAGGGTATTTGATTGGACAAAATTTTATGCTGAAACGATCAACACCGAGTGCAGTTCGTATATCTTATAATACGTTACAGATATACAAGAAACAAATCACGATTGAAACAGCCAAGTAGTTCGATGGAGATATAATCACAGGTGATGAAAGTATGTTACAAAAAGTGAGCTTCAGAGCCATTGCAGATATTCGCACTCCGAAATAGTCAACGAAAAACATACAAGATTGCAATATGGATTATTTATGGCTAAGTCAATTTGTTCCAAAGCAGTAGCATATTGTTTGTTAGAGTTCAATTGCCATCCAGTAAGACATTGGTGTAATAACATGAAAGAGGGTTGGATATGATTCACTGCGCAGGAGAACACATGCACCCGATATCTCAAGATCTGCGCCAATGAACATGGGCGGAATGATCTTTTCAGATCAGTGATTCCAGCGCTACTAAGGTACAACAAGAATAAAGGTACATATGAGCGAGAGTAATATACCAGGGACGACTACAGAGGTAAAGACTGATATTAGACCGAATGAACATTGTGGAATGTTGTCTGGGAAGATGCAAAGCAAAAAAAATCACAATGGGCAAATCACACGTAAAACAAAAAAACTCCTATAACAATAAGACGAAATGGCGAAAACATATGCGCAGTAATCACCTTACAATGAGCCGAAGAGTCTCGAGAACGGCTTCACCACTTGCACTTTGACCGTATTCGTCCAAAAATCTGACGCTTTCTCAAATTGCACCAACATATCGGCCTGAAGAAGTATCAACTGATCTAATTTATTGGAGATTATAAGGCCATAGAATGAGGAAATTTTTGGGAGCGGGTTGCTCAAGGGCTTTACAAAAGCAAATCCTGCATCTAGAGTGAAGACAGATACCTTCAACTTGCCGCGCTGCCCAGTTCCTCTGGTCCTCGTGGAGCAGGCGGCTCGTGCGGAAAATCTAAAATTAAAAGTTCGCGATGTGCCAACACTAACGCCGAGCGAACTTACCCGGAACATCAGTTCCCTCAAATTCATCGTCACTATCATTATCTATAGAAAGGTCACCATTCTCGTTTACAGCATTGTGAGGAGGAGCTAAGTGATTCGGAACCATGGGAGGAGATTCCTTAAACCGAAGCGAGATAAGGAGAAGTAAAAAATTTTGATCTACTATTTTCCAACGTGCTGCGCTTTCAGTTCAAAATGCTGAGTACCGCTCATAAAGCGTTGGATGAAAATTTCAAGCAACCATGTACAGCAAAAATGTTCTAATGCGTAGAAGTGGGACTGAAGTCCTGCAACTCACAGGGGCTTCTTCTTTGGGCGAGGGGTGGGGAAGTCCCAATCTTTCTCTGCAGTAGTGAGCAACACACTTGTGAACGAAATGGAACTGATCCTGAAAAAAAAACTAAAATCAAGTTTTACATCGAGCGCTAGCGCCAACAAACCTGTGTCTGCACCATGCTTGCTCTCTGTTTCCTTAAACTCATGACAAGTTCGAATATGTCCAAAGAGTCCAACTCCTCAGACTCAATCAGTTCCCTTATATAATTGACTGATATGATTGTTCCAGTACGTCCCACGCCAGCGCTAGAAAGTCAAAATGACAAGGAAGTAAGAGAATTAATAGAAATCTTACCTGCAGTGAACAAGAACAGGGGCTGTAGAATTCTTATTGTATTCAGCCATTTTTTCAATCATGTTGATTAGCTGATCTTCGCCCGATGGGCAACCGTGATCAGGCCATTCCCTAGAAACATAGTAGGCGCATTGTGCAAAAATGAAACATGATGAAGCAGAATTACCTGTAGTGCAGTTGTGTGATCGACCTTGATTCGCCTGTTTTCGAATGGGTCATTTTCAGCCGTCTCATAAGGTACTCATCGTCAGTGAAACTGAAAATGTCGTTTTTAGTAGCTGTGCTGCCACTGAGTGGACACGGGTAAAGTTCATTTTATTCACTGGTCACTCAGATTGGTCAAAATAGATGTTTAACAATCAAGAGAATTAAATCCCGGATGATAGTAATACGGTGCATGTTCACTGATGTTTTCAATGAATTTGCTCCAACCCACTTTCAAACAGTAAGAGACACGAATGGCACCTGTGTGAGACTGCAATCTCGAAAATAATAACTGATCAACTGATTCATAACTGACGACAAAACCCCAATTGATTGGATAACCACACTTGCGCAAAGCGCAAAGTTTGGCACGCCATCCTTCAGATAAAACCAGAGGCGCATGGCAGCAGAATCACTTTTGAGAAACATTTGGTTCCAGAAAACCAAAGAAAAAAGAGTTAAAAAAAGATCAAATTTCAACGAAACAAGACTCTAATGGATATGCTAGCACGAACCCCGTCATTTCAACAAAAAAAACGATATACTACCTATAAAAAATAATCATTCATACCTTTCCTCCGATTCCAACGTGATCTCGTATGCACCGAAAAGGAGGCTTTGTCCAACTTCGGATGGCCAGTAACGTTCACATTTGACCTTAAGCAGACTGTATGCTAGCAAGGACAGCAGAGGTAGGGTAGACATACCTTGCTCATCTCCACCAATTTACATAACATGACAATCATCACAACTTTCTGTTCATCAATCATCTTCCACCTGTAAAAAAGCTAAGTGTTTTTCCGTCAAATTAAGCAATGTGCAAAACCGTGGTAGCAGACAGAAAGACAGTTGGCACATACCATTCTTCGAGCGTAGAAGCAAGTGGTGCCTGAGCAGCAATGAAGTGCATGCGACCTTTTGGAAGTTGGATGAAAGACGCATTTATATAACCATTTGGGTTATCCTCAGTCTTGGAAAGAACGACACGGTTACGATCATCTAAAATAGCGTGAGTTATGGAAAACCAACTTTTATCCACACAAGTGCTTAGACCGTAGACGATTTGGCAGATCATAAGAGTGACAAAAAAGAACTAAGCCAGCTTTACATCCGGCTACCAGTGATGACAAAGGGTTGCGCAGTTCAGTGGGCATGCACTTATGACATCGATAACGGCATAATCTACTGATCATAGTTCTGACAAAACAACCTACGCAAAAGCCACTAATTATTAAGGGGGAGATATGTGAACAATGAGACTTGGTGCTCTAGCAATCCAAACTTAAGTACAGTATGAGATCAGTCGAGAAAGACCATAAACAGCTATTTGCACTACTTTGATTTTACCAACAAAGAATACAAGAAAATTTTCAGTGAAATCAGTAAGAAACTCTAAGCTTTGCTAGACATCAATGCATAGGAAAAGAAGGGTGAACCATATCATCCATAACCCTGTCTCACACAGCAAGAAGAATAGACTTTTAGATATCAAAAGCATATATCTAACATTATTTCGCTTCGTTTTCAATATTAAGTGTGTGAGCTGATCTTTCAATCTGAAATCGAATATTCAGATCAATAAAATCAGCTCTTCTGCCAAGGAAAATTTATGAGGGGAAAAATTCAGACCTTCTTTCCAGGTAATGATACTTTTATATAGCTTGGTTGAGAAAAGCTGAAAGGGAGATGAGGAACAGAATAAAAAGAAAAAATATCCATCACGTAGCAAGCCAATCGTCAAAAATTGAATAAAACTCAAAGCCCATGAAAATCCGAACTACACAGATCCATCTGCCCAATAGACTATGCGAATTTGGAAAAAGCATGCGAAGAAGGCATTTACCAGACTTTACTATCAGATGAAGTACTAAAGTCGATCAAACCATGTCTCAAAAGGTTTATACTTACATGGTAGTATATCCCTATAGCGGTTACGCATCACGTGGACATTTTCTGATGCACATTTTGACGACAGCTCAGCATCAGCACGAAGAGCTTCTTGTTCCAATCGGATTTGCTAAATTACCTTTTTTTGCGCGAAATGAGAAGGGAACAGGAGAAGAACTCACATAGAAACGTTTTATGTAGTCCGTCATGGACAGACTAGCTTCATAACGAAGAAATTCTTCTAGCAGATGGATAAGACGAGACTTGTCAACAGGAGTAGGGGTGACTTCTTTACAGTGATTTTTTTCGTCCACATTTGGATGAGGATCATCAGGAGCTGCTGATACAGCTGCTTTAGGCGATATTGATAGTGCGGGGCTGGGTGTTTGTTCACTTGCCTACAAAAAGAACCATTCTGTAGAAAAACGGGGGAAACATTCAAAGAATTTCCACACCTGACAGACTGGATTTTCCACTTCAATGTCGAACCTGATCAAATCTCCGACCGTATCCTGCTCTGCAGCATTTGCTGGCTCCATCACCCTAAACTGACCACACATCAAGTCTATTTTAAGGAATATATAAAACAGGGCAACGAATTCGGCGTCAAACAAGGTAAAAAAGCTGGAAGTAATTAATCATCCACGCCATCGGGATGACTCCGGAAGACTGCAGCGGTTTTTCAATTGCAGCGAGCTAGCACGAGCGTGGACCCGTATCAAAAATCAATTATGATTCGCGGTGGGGCGCGCTTGTCACTCGCAATCCACGAATGTTATGTTTCCAATCGTTGCTTGTTGAATGACAGTTTTTACGATTGAGAGGGAAGAGAGAATGATACTTTGTGTTGGTTTCATTCAGAAAGTGATTAATTGTCAACAGTGTATGCAAAAGACTGAAATTCTAAAACATACGCGCGAGTTCTTTTGTAGAATGTGAGCCTGCACATTGCGCGCGACAACCGACGACACTCTGCTGGTAACCCACCAATAGAAGCTTTCTAGCGAGACGAACAGTGGAGTTGTCTACTATTGTTTCTGATTCCTTCAAAGCTTCAAAGAAGGGAAGAAAGCAACAGGAATCCATGAACACCAAGGGTTTGATTGAGGAAGTCGTCAGGTAGCGCTCCTTTTGTGCAGTATGCACATTAATTTACAAAAGGCTCGACGATAATTGGATACTGTGGCAAAGAGAATCAGAGTATTCCGCACATCAGTGTGGCCGGATTCTTAAGTCCACATGAAAGTGCATGAATAAAAGTTCCTGACCAACATTTTGCAGGAAAAAACTACCTTGCATTCTTTTCACAAAAACGCAGCTTGAGAGCATAATTGGGACTCATTGGGGCGCGGACAATAGGCACGCGCCATACTTGATCCGCTTCGTTATTGGTCAATTCAGTGAGCTGACGAATAGTGAAATGGATGAGGCGGATCAAGCGGATTAAGTGGACAACCGCTTCGTCATTGGTCACCTCACTGAACCGACCAATGACGAAGCGGATCAAGCGGACCAAGTGGATTAAGCGGATCAAGTAGCGCTAACCTTAGGTACCCTGCCGAGGTGCTAATTTTCGCGACTGTTAATTAGCGGTATACATTGGGCCACCCCCTTACTTGATCTAGTGGGGGGGGGGTACCTAACGATACACCTATTCCTGCCTACACAGTTAATCTAGCTCATTCAAGCGCTCGTCCCGCAAATCTTTAGAAAAAAAATAGATTTTTAGAGGATTGTCGCAACAAAACTTCTAAAATCCTGCAACAAATCGAAATCTATGTACTCTTAAGAGAGAAACAGTTTCAAATATCTATTTTCATGAGCAAAGTCACGTTTTTAACATTTCTGGAATCTGTGAGTGTGTGATAGAAAAGCTAACACAGCCGAAAAACTCGGAATATTTGTCAGTCTGTAGAATTCTAATAAGTTACTAATTCTATAATTTCAAAATGGTGCGAGATCATTTGTCGGTAGTGCTCCTGACTTATCGCACTTTTTTCTTATCGCAGTTGCACAGGATGTATCCTTTTCTCAACAAACTGATAGGGGGAAAGCTTTATGAAAAAGACTCCCAGGAGAATCATCAGGCGCCGAAGCTGTGTGGATGAGCGTGTAACCCAGTAGTTGATAGGAATCTTATTAGTTGCTATTCGCTAAAAATAAACAATTCATACCAACGGATTACTCCTTAGCTCAAATGCCCTGACGACTATGTACGATCAGCAAAAAATTAGAAACCAAAAATTCCATTACTAGTAATCACTAGTCAGTCTAAGAGCGTACGGGAACTCCTAGCAGTCCTAATTCACTGCTATTATGTAAGCTTTCACAGCTTTTATGAAGTCTGTTAGTCAGGCAAATCTATTAGCTCGAAAAGATGACAAAAATATCAAGTGTTGTGTGCTTATATCACTAAAGATGTTGTCATTCTTTGTTTTCTGCTCGTCTCAAAATTTGTAGGTCGCATGCGCCAGCCCTAAAGACTTCGTTCACTGTAAGTTGAGGATCTTGAGCTTTTGGCAGCTAACGATACTAGGACCCACTATCAAGCCAATGACTAAGTCGCGGCTCGAAATGTCGCTTCGGAAGCGAGAAAATCTTTAAAATAACGAAGAGGCATGTGGCCAAGTCGGCACCGCCCCCTCCAGCAATGCACTCCCATCCGTCCGCGCCCATCCATTCACCGTTCCGGAAAACCAGCCTGCGGTTTCCGAAACGAGAACATGGGCTTTTTGAGGAACCTCCACTGCATATTCGGAATTAGGGACATGAGATGATCCCGGGACCAAAACATGGAAGTCGAGAATCTGGACAGATGTGCGCTTGAAAGAGGTGGAGTCAGCTGCTAACAGATAGGAGTAGGTGTATCGTTAGGTATCCGCTGCTAGAGCCTAGCGGGCGTCCTATGTGTATCGTCGATTCGTTAAACGCACGGACTGCTCAAACGCTGCGGAGCACGCGCGGCGCGGCTGAATTGTCGCGAGAGCAGGGCTTGTACAATGGCGAATTTGTACTGAGGCAAGCGTTTTACCTCGCGGCGCGTGCTCCGCAGTGATGTCCAGTCCGTGCGGTCAACGATTCGACTATAGATAAATAAAAATAGGTATACAGGATTTGGACTAGCTAGCGTACTCTAGTGTTTCTCTAAGACTAAATGAAGAAGCATGATTTTGAAGTGCCTGTCTTTAAAATTTATTTCCAGCGCTAACCGATGTTGTTCTTAAATAAATACGGTGACCTTTTTCTATTTCTTGAAGGAACGCTATGAATTTAGGTCCGTTTCGAAAGTCACTCAATTATTCTAAATACAAGAAATTTAATCAGACTAATTATGAAATTTAACGATCATTACTGGTCAAAGGCAGAAATTTGAAGAGTACGGTCGTCTTTTACCTTGCACCGTCTATCATCCTGTACTCAAAATTAATTGTTGCAGAGTTTTTGCATGCATCTCTCTTTCCATAATTACTCAAAAAAATCAATGCAGATCTCATAGCAACATTTTGTAAAACTGCGAAGGAGTAATAGCAGATGATTATTACTCAGCCTAAGAGGCTCTGTACTGTTGTTGATATATGCTTGTTGCCGTATTAGGATGACAGCACGGCTTACGTATAGTTCATTTATAAAATCGTGACGATGGATTTTGCTGCGGACTTTGCGCCCACAGAAGCATAAAACGCTCACAGAAGAGGGTGAGGGAACTTAGGAACCCGAGCCTAATTAGCTCGATTTGGGGAGTGCCTGCAGGTTACAGTCATGCTCGTTGTCTCTGATTACTCACTGGGACATAGCAACAATCTAAGCCCCGCCCCCATGAGAGCCTGTTTGGAACCTAGCCACGAATGCTGAAAATCTCAACTGGATTTCAGGGCTGCCTCTAAGCCAAAAACCTTCAAAGTGATCGTACGAAGGTGAAATTAGGCTCAAACCAAAGAGAAAAGCCATGCCATCATCATAAAGTGCCTACTGATTTAAACTGATTGAACACAACATTTTACTGAGAAATTATTCAAAAAACCGTAATGTGTTTCAAAAAAAAATTTGCTTGAGTGCTAAATCCTAGCAAAAGACTAGAATATCATTCGAAAAATGACAGTTCAAAAACTTCCCAAAACTGATATTTATTTAAATGCTGAAATATAGGCGAAAGACTAGAAAATCAATTGCGAAACGACAGTTTATAAAATTCTCAAAAATAAAAGTTTGTTTATGTGCGGAAGTCTGGGCAAAAGATTAGAATATCAAGAAATGACAGTTCAAAAACTTCACTAATGATATTGCTGAGTCTGACAACGACAGACGATTCTGATGTGCGAAGAACATGCTGCTAAGATGCTGGAAGCAATGACCTCAACCTACGCAAGGAAAGGTTGCAATAACAGTTTGAGGCGAAATTTTCCTTATAAATAGTAGCATAAAGGGTGTCGCGGATTCGCGACTTCCTTCAAAGGAGGCCGCCGCCGCGCTGCGAAGGGGTCCCGAAACGCTGTCCTCGCGCTGCTCCCGCCTTCCCATCGCTATCGCCGCAGCTTTCAAATTAGTCGACAATTTCGTTACCTGGTGAGCGGTTGGGTCCCAGTTCCGTCATCCCACGTGTCGATCGATGCAGCGCTGTCCCCAACTCACGCGTTCAGCTACATCTACGCCATGGAGGACAGGCAACCACGCAGACGAGGTAACCCCGAGCGCGCTCGCGCCTGGCACATGCCGGCGACACCGCCTCGGGGGGTTTTCGATACTGCTGGCCCCTAGGGATGTTAAGATCTTGGCTGGTTGTGCTCCACCCCATTGTGTTTGAGTTTAGGGATTTGTTGTGGATAAATGGTGGGCATTTCACACGTGTGATTTGTTTGGTGCGGTGGGCCACAGCTCGGCTGTGGCTCCGGGGACACCTCATGTCATCATTATCGTTGTGTATTTATAATCACGCCTAGTACAATCCATCTATCAAGGCTGGCACAATACTAGTTACGTGCCTTGATTATATGCGCACGCCCCAACTGTCGATAGTTGGGAGGATAGTTCGGATCGCGTGCCGAGTAACTGCTAAGCAGGCTGGTGGCAAGGGCCTCTACGTGTGTATAGAGTTCCCATGTGGCAGGCACAAATAGCATTTACACAGGTAGCCACCTCACAGGATACGCTTCACTTATCACGGAGCGGACCCCTGGCTCCCCTCGCCAATGCAGGAGAGCCGTAACACCACTGACGTTGGGAGCTGGGGGCTCAATCCGCGACAAAGGGTGAGGAACATTTATCAGCAATTCAGCACTCAATATAAAACTATTATTTCTGAGAAGTTCTTGATTTGTCATTTCTTGATATTCTAGTCTTTTGCCCAGACTTCCGCACACAAACAAACTTTTATTTTTGAGAATTTTATGAACTGTCGTTTCGCAATTGATTTTCTAGTCTTTCGTAAATTTCAGCATTTAAATAAATATCAGTCTTGGGAAGTTTTTGAACTGTCATTTTTCGAATGATGTTCTAGTATTTTGCTAGGATTTAGCACTCAAGTGAATTTTTTTTGAAACACCACGGTTTTTTGAATAATTTCTCAGTAATTTAACACTTAATCAAAGTTTTGAACCAAGAAAATCTCGTGTTCAATCAGTTCAAATCAGTAGGTACTTTATGATGATGGCATG